AATACTAATAAAATTAAGAATATAAAAAATAAATTAATATAATATTATTATTTTATTTTTAAATATTAGTTTCTTTAATTTTGATTGCGTTATAATCTTATTCGAAGACTTTGCTATTCTTCAGCTTGTTCAAACAAATACAATAATTTATCTTATATTTATATTTAAAGTAACTATAGCTAATAATAAAACAAGAATAAAAAATAAGTGCGATAACTGTTTTGGCTTAGAGGTATGTAATTGTGCTAGGTTTGTAATTTATTGTGATGTAGTTAATACAATTAATGAAATTTTTTATGATAAATTTTATACCAATAAAATTGTTTAAGAAAAGATAAAAAAAAAATAAAATAAAATTTGTATAATATTAAAAATTTATAATCATTGTTATTGGATAATATTAATAAAAATATAATTATTTTATTATCAAATTAGTTTACATATATTCAAATTTTTACTTGTGTTATTGATAATTATTAAATAATTGTAATTATACAATTTTATAAATAATATTTAAAATATTATTTAAGCATTAATTATAAATATTTTTATATTATAAAATATTTTTATTTTTATTTTTATAATTTAATTTTTTAAAATTATTAAATTATTACATATTTTAATTATTTTTTATGATAATTATATTTTGTTTGTATAAAGACATCTTATATTCAATAAATAAAATTACAGTAAACATATAAAATTGATAACAAAAAATAACACTTACAAAATTTATTGAGTCAGCTAAAAATATTATTATATTTTAAAAAGTAAATAAATATTGTTATTATAAAAATTGTAGAAAAAATATTTATATTATAAAATTTATAGATACAGAAAAATAATATATGAGCATAGGAAGAATTATTAATATTTATATTTAAATTAAAATAACTTATATTTCTAAATTTTTATCTTAATTAAAAAATATGTGATAAAACTTAATATAAAATAACAACAATAATAACTATTAAATTAAAAAAATAATTACAAAACATTAATTTTATTTGTTTCATTAATTTATTATTTTAAATTAACAAATAAACATAAAATTAACTACACTATAACATTAATGTAATATAGAAAATATTACTGATACAATAAATTAAAACATATATTTATATATTACATATAAATTGATAAATTAACTAATAATTTAATTAAAACACGTGTAAATTACAAAAATATATATTATTATATAATTTATTTATAATTATATTATTTATATTATTTTTTACATGGTCTGATAATATATATATATATATATATATATTATAATAAATTTTTTATTTTATTTTGTTATCATTTTTTTATAAATTTTTAGTTTCAAATAAAATATAATTCATATTTAAACAATTTCTATATATTATAAATAAAAATAATTATAACATAATATATTAATATAATAATTAAATAATTAAATTAATAATAATAAAATTAAGAGTATAAAAAATATGTTAATATAATATTATTATATTATTTTTAAATTTTATTTCGTTTAGTTTTGATTACGTCTTATTTTTTTCAAAGACTTAACTATTCTTTAAATATAATAAATATAATAATTTATTATTAAATAAATTTATTATTTAAAAAGTGTAATCATATGTAAATATTTTTAATTTTTAATAGAATATAATTTCTATTTTTTATAATTATAAATAAATAAAATTATAACATAATATGTTAATAACAGAATTAAGAATATAAAAAATATATTATTAAATAACTATTATTTAAATATATTTTGATAGCTCTATTTTTAAATTATATATATAGGCCAGCCTATCAAGATTAACAGACTTTATAAACAGCTCATATCTAGCTTATTTACTTAAACAAACCTTAAAAAAAGTCTAAGTCTAATTTATTTATTAAAATAGTCAGGTCAAACCAGGCTACATGCCTCTCTGTCAGGCAGTCTGACCTATTTCTATTCCTATTTCAAAAATTGAGTACATGCTGAATTATGGTGCAAATCTTGTGCTGTTGGTGGGTCTCGGCCATGACATATTAGACTAATATTAGAGCTCATGGCCCAAAACATAAAAAGAACAATAAAAGAAACTATCAAAATGAATTTAACTTAGTGACTTCTTTGGCTCAAATTAAGTTGAGAAAAAAAATCAAATTTGTTTGTAATTTATATTTTATTTAGCTTTTAATTAGGTTTTTATATTTAAAAAAATTGTAATAAATCGTTATAATTTAAAGATTTTGTAGTCCGAACTTTTGTTTGAGACTAACACCGTTAAAGTGTTAAACACCCGTTATTTTGTTGTTTGCTCAAAATTGAATGTACAGTCCCTAAATCCCCTATGAAAGATACGGCGAAGTTTTATTAAATCTTTTTAAGTAGATGTTAAGAATTACATATATCATTTATCTAAACTTTCGTTGGTGATTTTTGTTGTTTTAATCTTAAAACATATAAAATAAACATTTTCTATTTGAATCACTTGCACGTTTAATTAACACAGTAGTTCTTTCTATTCAAATATGTACTCCTTTTAAAATTTCTTTTGATTATTTTGATTCGTTAAAAATAAATTAACAAATTATTTTTTATCAAATAAAATTTTAATCATATAAATTTGTGTCAGATATTACACTCTAATTACAAAAAATATACAAATGAACTCAACAATTAATTGATTGATCTTTAAGAATAACAAATAAATCACGAGTAAATCATATAAATTTTTAAAATCAAATTAAAACTTCAATTTAAAAAAAAAAAATCCTACATCAATTATTCTAATTTTAATTTTCAATAACAGCAACAATAATGCATTATCTGTTATGTTATAAAATACAATGTTTTAGGGATATGAATCATGCTGCGAGATAGTATCACAATTAATTTATTTTTTCCTAGCTAAAAGAATACTGTTCTATTTATTTGCAATCGTCTTAACGTCAACACTTTAATAAAATATTAAAAAAAATTATCTTTTATCATATTATTAAATTTAAAAATAATGATTATATCTGTTACTATCTTGAATCAATTATAATAATAAAAAGTTAATTTGATAAACAATTTTAAATTTTTATATTATCATCATTCACAAATCACAGTGTTTAATTTAACTTTTCCATAATATATAAAATATTTTATTTCAATCAACCATTTAAATATATATCTTTTATATAATCACTTCAATATTATTCTTAGAATTCAATTCAAAATATTGCTAAATTAAGTGAAATATCATTTTATAATGTATACAATTACCAATTATTCTAGTTTTCACCTTATATAATTATTAATCATTTTATTCCATACTATTACTTACACATTAATTATCTCAACGAACAAATCAACGTAACATGTTGTTAAGTGTAAGTTGAAAATGATATATAGCATTTAATGATAATACGATCGCTTCAAAATTTATTTTTTTTTAAAATTTATTAATTTAGTTCTTAGATAATTTTATTATAAAAAAAAGATATTAAAAAACAGATAAAAATAATCTAATAAGTACCACTATTTAAAATGGATGTATTTAAATAATTTCTCTTCAAAAATAATTTAGAGAACAATTTTTACTACTGCTCTATAAGGTATGAACTGTGAATTTTAAAAAAAAATTATAAATTTTTTATTATAAATAAAAAATAATTTATTATTATATTTACACTTAAATTTATATGTTTAAAATTTAAAATTTTTTTATTATAAACTAAAATTGATTATTTGTTTCATTGAAACTAGAGTTTGTATTTTCTATTAATTAAAATGATTCACATCTAAATGAATTCAATCTTAGAAAATAAAAAAATTTAAAATTATTAATTTTTTATTAATAAAAAAATAGAAAAATATATATAAAAAAGTACTTGCAGATGTTGAATGTGCCAACTTTATTAGTCTAAAAAAGATTAAAAAAACAAAAAAAAAATTATATAATTGTGAGTTGATATTGTTAGGATTTTTAAATTTTTTTTATTAAAATAGGAGGCTAAAAGCCTAGCAATTTTTTTTAAAATTTTAATTTGTGAAAATAATAAATACATAATTATTTTTTTAAAGTCATATTTAATATTATTTTATTCTACAAGTAACTGCTTTAAAAAAATTTAAAATGACGTAGTGTCTCTAAACTTAAATTTTTACAGAAATAAAATTAATTGATAAAAATATTTTTTATATTATTATTAAATCTTATATTTTATATTCAACTTAACACTTAACATCTAATTAACTTCTTTATTATGATAATTAATATTTAAGTGAGAACAAGAACTAAAATAACTAATTATTATATACATTAAGGATTGATAATCATATACGTTGAGAATTAAAATATATTTTATTTAATTTTAAAACCATTTTAATAAATTTTAAAAATAATAATAATTAAAATAATATAATTACATATATTAAGTACTAAAATAATGTTTTGGTTATTATGGTATCTTTTTTTATTAATTTTAAAAGTAATAACATCCAAATTGATAATTTACTTGAATAAGATTTATGTTACTTTTAAAAAAATTGGATTGAGTCATTTTTACGATAAGATACTCTAAAAGTATTCTCCAAATCGCTCCGTAAACTTCTTTCTCTCTTAACGTACTTTTGTTTTTCATTTTACCTAAATTTCGAAATACATACGGGTGTAACGTATACGAGTGGACTGGTTGAAATTTAATAAAAGAAATAGTAAAATTTAATTTTAAAAATTATATTAAGTTCACATAGAGTTATAAGAAAGTAAAATAAAAAAACATAATTAAATTGAATGTACTTAAAAAATTTTAAAAGCTAAAAATGTAAACAAATACTAAAACAAGAGTGAAATGTCTAAAGGATAAAAATAATAAACCAATACAATTGAATTAATAACTTATATAAGAACATCCACCCTTAACATGTTATTTTTATATTTTAGTTTTAATTATAAGAAATAAAAATCCATTTTCATATATTATAATATTTATATTAACAGACCACCTACTCATTGGTGGGAAAATATTTGTACCAAACAATGACGAAAGATAGATGACTTTATTTGAATTAAAAATACTCCGTTCATTTGACGAAAGTCACAGTGGGTAGTTGCAGTTTTTATTTTATACTATTTAACATATAAAAAAGAAGAAGAAAAGATGGAAATAAAAAGTGAGGGTGAAATCTGAAAAGGAAAGGAGTGGAAAGTGGAAAGTGGAAAGTGAAAAGTGAAAAGTGGAGTGAGTGGCCTAAAGCAACGTGGCCTGCCGACTCCCAAGCAATATCGAATTCCACGCAACTGATTGCGCACCGCATCCATCCCTATTTACCGTTGCCCTCTCCTTTTCATGCCCACGTAACATGTAATCCCTCAACTCTCCCACTACCCTCTATTTTCATACATATTCTTTTTTGCAAATCTATGTTTCTGCAAAGATTATCATTTAATTATGCCAATTTGTTTTTCAAAGATTATCAATTAATATACATTATACAACGCCGCTATCACTGATATGTAATGTGTTAAATTGTATACATACATTAATTATAACTATCACCAAATGAATGATATATATCTTAGCTTAAGGTCGGAATATGACCCAAGATGTTTACCCAAAAAACAAAAATATATATGCCCCAGGATAGATAATTACCTGCTAACATGGTAGTACGGTACCCATGCATAGATTCTCTTCTCGTGATAGGTAAAAAGGACTTGCTGCTAAAAAAATAAAATCGCTGCCTCCTGTGGCCTACTTGTTCAGAGAATGTAGAGGTCAAGGATGCATGCATGTCCATGTAATTTTCTCTGCTCCATCTCCACCTCCACCTGACCATCAGCATGAATCAAATCACAGCAAGGATTATTGACCCATCAACTGCTGGGGTAATGGGATACTTACAATAATCAAGTGTGATGATTATAAGGATTCTTGAGCCAACATCGTAAAATCAAATCGCTAGATCAACATAATACAGACATGGGGAATGAACAATATCATCAAGTCCTTTGATCACACACCCCATTATTTATTTATTGTGTATGTAATCAATATTTGAAAGCCAGGCAAATTAAGTCATTTATGAATTGAGTCCACTTTCACTCCGTGATGTAGGCATCGAAGACATGAACTACACGAGGCTAGCTAACAATTATATGGAGGAAGGTAGCACTTAGAGTGCCTAATCCTTGTAGTGTATGTAACACATTTAACTCGTATACGATTCGATATGGGTAATATCTTGTAACTGGTAAACCTGATCTCTAGAAGTTGTTTCTTTCCTTTTGTCTTTATGCTTGAAGCGACAAGACCTATCTATAACTATAACTACCACCAACGGTAACGGTGTACGTGTATATAGCTAGATAATGAGTAATTAATTAAGCTAAATTAAATAGATGGCCGTAATTGTGGAGGTGCTAGAATAACAATGGTTTTTTCAGTCACAATTTTACTACCAAGAAACGCCCCTAGATATGACTATATGAGCCTCCATCCGCTCTTTGAGGGTTGAACTTTTATCTATTGAGAGACATGTCATGTTCTCTTCGAAAGTGACAGACAGCAAATCTCTTATTAAATCAGTATAAATATTTAATCGAATTGGCTTTTTAAAGACAGCTGAAGACCTAGCAAAGTTTCTTGATCTTCCCAATAAAGAGACACAGATATGTCATGCGGAGCTGACTTTTCAAACAAAAAGTCGATAGTGTGGAGAAGATTAAACAATTCAAGGCCTAATAGCCTATGGGAGGAAAATCAAGAACATCAGTTCATTATTTGAACCTCAAATAAATTACACTATTATTAACATTGTATATGATTATTTCTATTTTCTGTATCTATACATATATCTTAACAGTATTTTCTCAAACTTAAATAAAATAACAAAATTCATTTCACTTTAACTGTATAAAAAAGGTTTTCTTAGGGAAGATCAACAATAAAAAAACTCTTATTCTCACTCTCCAACTAAAATTTCCACACGTCAAAATATAAAAATGAATAATGATAGTTGTACATTTTTATGAAGTGTATTATCCATCTTTGGAGGAAGAGAGATAATAAAAAGTGAAAGAGAAAATAAGTCATATAATTAATGATGCGATGAAGAAAAGTAGATAACTAGATACATAAAGAAAATGAAACTGAAGAAAGAATTACCTATAAGAGAACGGAGACAAACAAAAATTATTGTTGTATATGAGCTTTTAATATGTGTTTCTCGTGGAGTCGATAAATAGTTCCAAAGTTACTCTTTTTTTGGTCTTTGTTTTATATCTGGAAAAAGAAAAGGTTCATTGTTTGTAAGGTTTAATTTCAAAAGCAAAGCATCTAAAAGCAGTCTTTTGAATGCCTAAAACAAAAGCAGTCATTTGAAGAGCAATGTATGTGAATTCCATAAAGTTGTCTCCAGTCATACTTTAACCTAAGAAAGATGTCCAAGTGCTGATGAAGACAGCATCATGAGTCAAGATAAGGTAATGCCAGAGAAGTTCGAAGCCACTAAGAGATATGCATGATGATAGTAATGATGTGCGAGTCACGACCACAGGCAAGCAAATCTTAAACAAAAAGGGTATCGGCCGACCCACATATATCATGCTATTATTGTTTGAGCATAGTTTAAAGGTTTAACTTTCATAAACGGTGGAATATGAGGTCATGTAACACGAGATTAATTATTGTCAACTCCAATTATCTTGTCGGTTTAAGGTCTACTGTATTTTAAAAAAAAATTAAACTAACAAATAATAACATTTTTAACTGGTTTTAACCAAACTAAGATGTGATGTCATTTTCACAAAACCGAAAAAATGGCCCAACACATGCCAAATTTTCACAATTTTCCATTTACAGACTTTCTGCACGACTAGTGAAAGCAAAATTTAGCTTCCAATCTCTTAAAATTTTATAATATAGCTCAGTAGCTAATCAATTTACAACATGCTGTATATATACAATGTGCTCTTAATCTACAATTACCGCAGAAATTAAGGCTTAATCACCTAAAGAGCTAAATAATTCATTACCATGGCTAAACATCGATCTATGTTCTCAGGCATCTACCGTTAATCAATCCTCCTTTTTGTCAATGTGTAATTACTGACCGTACTGATTATAGAGTTCATAGTAGTGCACAAATTACTAATTGATTCGCAAAAATGTATTCTTGTTCTAAAACCTATATACTATCATATTGAACTGTATGCTCTTGTCATGATCAGTATCTCCATTTCAATAGAGTATATATATTTCAGAAAGTACTTATTCCTCTCAGGCTTTAGCGCAATGAAAAAAAGTAAGACAGCATGCTCTTCCCATTGCAGCAAGGCTATATATATATATATACTTTAAAAATGTTTCTATTAACATTAACACTTAGAATCGATTTTGAATAATTAAAATTAAATTTTTTATTGATTTTTTTCATCAAAACTAAAAATATAATAATGGCTAGTGTTCACAAAATTCTAATAATATTTTTTATATACTATTAATTATTTTTTAACCCATTATATATAGGCATCGCTAAACCATTTAGATTTTATAACTAAATTTCCTAGCTTTCAGTTTTGTAAAATCTCCTTAAAAGCCATACAAATGCAATATCCTATGAACAAATAATTTTGTTAAATTCAATATTTGGACTAAGTTTAAATATATAAAAATAATAATTTTTTTATTAAAAATATATATTATATCAGATATATGAAGTGTAATAAATGGTTTAGTTCTTTTAAATGTTTAAACTTAGTTGGATTAAGGATAACAAAGTTCATAAATAAAAAGGATAAAAGATCATGCGAAGTTGGGTATATATATACCATTAAATATTCTTCTCATCTGCTGCGCATTCCCTGGGGTACAATATCTCCAAGCAACCCCTCATCTGTGGGAGGCTGAGACGATGCATTAGCTGGTATCATTCCGCTGGATCCTCCAGCTTCATCCTGTGCTTGGCGAGGCTGAGAAATAGGGCTAAAGGTATTATTCTCGCTGGTTAATTGAATTGGGTAATAGAACTGTGACATTGTAGGAGCCAATTGGCTTGAAAAGGTAGCTTCGTGATTAATGATTCCCCCTCGAGGAAATCCAACCGTGTGATGACAGTGTTGGCCTTCATATGTAGTAATCACAATCGTTGGGTCCTCAGAAGAGCGTTCTACCCTTTTCTTCACCGTGCATTTGCTGTTTGTGCAGCGATAGTAGCTCCTGCACAAGACATATAAATGCATCAGAATCATTGGCACTTTTGTCAATTTGCTTCTCTCTTGTACATTTATCATGGTCAGTTTATTCCAAAATTGTTTAGTACAGGGACTCATAAATTGCTAGCCGTCAATAAAATTCATATTACTTCCACAGAAAATATTGACTTATGCAATGGATGCATGTCTGGAATCATTGTTAATTTGCATTTTTCACCTTAACCTTAAAGTTTAGTTGAAGTATTGAAAAATACTAATTTTTTATTAGAAAAAAGATTACATTAAAAATAAAAGTATAATAAATGTCTCTTTTTTTTAAATGTATTATTTTTAAATGTTTAAATTTAACAAAATAGTTTTTTTTCTTAGCATTATTTCCTACTTTTATATAACAGAACAAATGTTTTTGGAAAAAGAATTAAAAGGGCCTTACTAAACTGTTTCCTAACAATAATGAACAAAGAATAACAAAAAAGTTACTAAAGATTATGTTACAATACGCTAAAAGTTACAGAAAGTATATTAATAATGTTTTAATAAAAAGTTAAATTTTAAATTTTTAACTAATACATTTAAGATAATGAATAATATTTTCCCTATTAAAATGAGAAAAGAAATGAATTTGGTAATGCATGCATCGTATGCTAGATTAATTAATAGCCAAATTTCATTTCCTTCATGTCTTTTTTTTTTCCCTTTATTTTCTCTTCAGGCATATCCTTTTAAGGTTAAAATATTATAATACAATATATATATCTTATAGCATCCTTTGATGTTAATACTTAAACGAAAATTTGACAAAATCCATAAGGGGACACACAATAATCAATTATAAACCAGAATCCTATTAGCATAAGTCGCTAATTAATAAATAATTTTTTATTAAATATTATGATAAAGATACATTATTTTAATATTTTAATTTGGTATCCTTAATATATTATATTATATTTTTGGTTTTTTTAATCTATCACTTTAAAAATATTGATTTAAAATTAATAAATGAATTTTATATATTAAAAATTATAGTAAAAATACATATGTTGCACTGTATATTATATTTTTTTTAATAAAAAATTGTTTTAATTTTTAACTATTCTCTTAAAAATAATGGTTGGTAAAATTGTTTTCATAGAGATTTATATAAATTGGCAAGAATTTTAGTAATATATAATTAAGGGTTAATTTCATGAGAAGGTAGCTGTAGTAAACCTAGGGAATGGACTATTTTTAACTGCCTTCTGACCATACTTCCGCCATCTGTAGCCATCTTCAAGGTGATCCACTTCACTCTTGGTCATAAATGCAAACCGTGGCTGCCGTATTCGCTTTTGCCCCTTCTTCTTACTTTTACTCCTACAAAATATTTCAACTACAATTTATATAAATAAAAGAAGCATACTGAAAAATCTAAAAATATCAAGAAAATAGATACCATAACCTAAACCAGAAGCAGATTTCATATTGCTACCCGTTTATAAATCATACACAACACTTTTGTATTGGAAACAGCTAGCAATATTATGTGTATTGATCATACCCTTTCTACGTAAATATTTTGGTGCATCTGTTTTAGAAAGTAGCGCTAGTTAATGATAAGCTTAAGATAGGATTCTTTTATCTTTTGTTGGGTTTCAAAGACATCCATGAAAAATTAAACCAATTCATAAGGAATTAAGTAAAGGCAATTACGATATATAGGACACATTCAAATCAAGTTTCATAAGTTTAGTGTTTGGATAAAATTTTCACCGAACATTTATAGAAAAAAAAAATAAAGAATTCAAATGAATTGAATATTTTAATAAATTAAAGTTAACTTGTGCATACAATGGAAATTAGATTGAAAAAAAATGCATACAATGGAAATTAGATTGAAAAAAATCTAAGTTGACATTCACAAGATTATTTTATTCTTTTTATCATTTTTTTCTTTTAAGTACTTATTGAAAATTTTATTCAAATTAAACTTTAATAATATCTTAAAAAAATTTAAGGAAATGTATTGTTGTTGTTATAATTATTTACAAAATGTCATGCGTGAATGGGCGTAATTCTTGAGCAATCAAAAATTGAGTAGAGGCTGTAGGTTAGCATGGACTAACAATTCATGAAAAGAAAAAGAACAGAAATAGGAAATGTCCTTCAACTGGTGTATCAAATACTTTGATGACAATTTAACTAAAGCCTCAGTTTATGAGAACTAGATTTTTTAAATCATCATTAAATTCAATTTATGTACAAAGACTAGAGCAATATAATGCACATTGCAATGGGACCAAAAGAGAAAAATATTTCTGCATTGCAGCCATCCCATAACTAACGTACAACACCTTAGTACGTATGACTGGGTTCTAAATGAAAGTTAATGTTCTTTCAATAAGATAATAATGGACATAAAATATGGACCACAAAAAAATAAAGAGAAGACTGGCCTTGCAATAGAAACACGCAAACATTGTTTTAGGGAAGAAGCATTATGTCATAAACATATATTCAATATGCTTTGCATAAATGATAATTATGAGCACAAAATGCCAATTAATGCCAATGCTATCACATAGCAGTGAAATGAATAAGCCTCATACCTACAAAGTAGAAACTCCCATTCATATTCGAATGCAAAAATGACCATGTAATAATTTGAACAAAAAAGCAGCAAGTGGTTAGAATCTTATTAATGCCGAAAAACTAAAAAGCAATATACGTAAGTATAACATTTAAGAAAACAATAAAGAGAAAAGAAAAAGTGGAGCCCAATTAAATTTTATTATTATCCGAACCCCCACCCCTTTATTTTATGGTATTTTTTTCTTCCATTGAATATTCCAACTTTAATCAAAACAATTCGTAATAATGACAATAATAATACGTAAATAATGAAAACCACAAAATTATTATCATTCTGCAAAGCCATGGATGGCTTAGAGCACGCCATTCCCGCCGCAACAACGGTGGTGCTCGTGGGAAAAACTTCAGATACTCGAAAAGGTAACCCCATTTTATTTTCCTTTCATACACCTCAAATTTTCACTTTTTCAACCCATGACTTTTTGAAAATTGCGAACGCACCCAATAAAAAACTCAGTCTGTTATTTATGTTCTGTTTGGGAAGAAGATTCCTGATCGTACGGACAGAGAATTGCACTGAACCCGAAGAAGTTAAAATAAAAAATAAAATAAAAGAGGATACATACAAACAAACAAATCACCACAACTTGATTCGATTATGATTTGGTTGATGTGGAGATTTTCGGTTTTTCTTATTCCGCTTTTCCCCCATCAATTTTACGTTAATTACGAATTCACCAAAGTTGAAAGCAGTGAAGGCAAGTTTATTTTTCGTTTTCACCAACTCACGGTATCTCAGGCGGTTTCTCGTCGGAGACGGTCGATTTCTCCGGCGGATCCTCGCTGGAGCTTGAAGACACCGATTGGTTATTCGACCGGGACGACGCCGCCGCCGCTGGTTCAATCGAACCTGTCAGAGAAGACTGAGCCGGAAGCCACAATCCATCGTCGGTGCCGATCCGGTTCGGTTGGTCTGGTTCGAGGTTCCACCCGAACTCGCTGAGTATGCTTCTCTCCCTGCCGCCGGAGAAGAAATATGAGCCGTCCGAATCATCAGCGGCGAGGGGCCAACTGGACTCGCCGGCGAAGTCACCGGCGGCGGTGGATGGATCGGAGGTTGCTCTGTCTTTATCTTCCATTCATGGAGTGCAGCAAGCGAGGATTGATGTGAAGTAGGATCTGCGTTGGTGGAAATTGGAATGGAATCACGGAAAGTGAGGGAAAACGCGGAGAAAGAGAGAGAGAGAAAGAGAGGGAAGAGGAGAGAGAAAGTTAGGGTTTTTGTTTGGGTTATTGTTGTTTGTTGCGATGAGGAAGGGACGCGTAGTTTTTGAAGTTTATGAAGCGTTTTGAAAGCGTTGTCTCGTCAATGCACAGTGGAAGAAGAGAGAGAGAGAGTGAGTGATGGATTTTTGTTTTTATTTTTCAGAAAAAAGAGAGATTTGAATTGTAAAATAAAAAAAAAGGAAAAGAAAAGAGATAAGTTAGAAAAATGAGCGTTGTGAACTGTAAGAAGGGAGAAGAGTGGTCACACGCAGATGAATGATTGGACCATCGCCGATTACTTTCCTTTCAGCAAGTAGGATAATACCATTTCTTTGTTCCCACCATTTTCGTTAAGCCTAAATTTTTTTATTTTATTTTTTTAACTTCTTCAAATTCACCACGTGTAAATTTATCTCCATTTTATTTTCATTCAGATTTAACTCAAATGTATAGATTTCTATTGTTATCTCACATAAGTTAAAATTATTATTTTTTTGGATACAGGCATAGTTTTATTAATTAATCACGTAAAAATTCATTGACTAATTATAATTATAAGTTTACAATGCTTTTATCTACCTCTGATTTTTTTTTTTTGCGTTAATACTGATAAAAATTGAATCAATTGATAGAATTAAATTGCATCCATTTTTTTTTAAAGTCTTCCATTTGTCTTTACAGTTGTACGTACGATTCATATATTTTAGTTTTTAATATTTTAAAATATTTGCCAATCAGTGATTTTGTAAGAAGTTATTCATATTAATTTTTTTTATTTTTCACTAACAAATATCAAAGCAAATATTATTTTATAAAATTAAAAATTATAATTTAAAAATAAGAATTAAAGTACATAATTTATAGAATCTCAATGTCAATTTAAAATTTTATCATTTATAAGAATTTTAAAAAATATTTAATAAAATACTAGTAATTTTTTCTTAAGCTGCATGGGTGTTATTAAATCATTTTAAATAATTTATTAAAATTATACTGCAGCACTATTTTTAATTAATAAATTTATAATTTTAAAATAAATGTTATAATTGTTATTAATAAATGTTTCATTATATTACTTAAAATTTAAAATAAATTATAAAATTAAAAATTAATATAAAAAATAAACTACTTGATAAATTTTTTTTTAAAAACACCTTGTTTAAAAATAGTCTTAAAAAATATCGTTTGAAATCAATTTTACAAATATTAATCATCGGTAAAGAATTAATTTTTATAAATTATATATAAAAATTAATTGATGGTCATATCATGTCTTTTTGAAGGTGTTTGGATTCTCTCTCTATTTCAGCATTTATTAATTTTAATACAATTCAATTTATCACTCTTGTTAATATTAACCATTGAAAATATAAATTAATGATTAAAATTTAATTGGAGAGAGTTTGGCCGAAAAGGATACACTTTTATTTATTTTTTTGAATAAGCTCGTTTATAGTTTAAAACCATTTTGATTTTATATCAATTAAGGACTTCTATTTTGTTTTGTAACCTTGGGTTTGTTTGCTAATTTAGAAGGTTTGGATACATCACACGCAAAATTATGGACTGCTTTTTAGTCTTGCCAAAGTTGTGGAAGGTTCCTTTCATAGGGAAAACCCAGATAACTCATCTTACAAGGTAGAGGTAATTAAAAGTGCCCATTCACTATAAACTTTAATTGAAAAATCGATGTAATAATAAAGTCACTAAGGTATGGCCAAATTACATTGCCTTCACGTATCTTCAAGAAGAATTTCAAGCCAACATCTAAACCAGAAACTTTTCTCCCCGTTTTATTATTATGATGCTTATCTTTTGTCTTTATCATAAGAAAAATAAAACTACATTCAAGTTCTCGTAATTTTTACTTATTTTGAATATAACTTCATGTAATCTATGTTATTGTTCGTATACATATTGTCATTTTGTTTCAGTTTTGGTCATTACTATTAATATATATTGACGTTAATGAGACTAAAATACTTAGATTTCACTATCTGTAGATTTTAATTAGCCAAGATATTAGTTCTCGTAAGAAATTTTTATAATTTAGTTTTCTTTATTAATTAACATTTTTCAATGAAATAAAATAATTAAATATAGTATAACGACAAAATCTTAAATGAATAGTAAAAATATAAAGACTCGTTTAAAATATTTAGTTAGGGATGTATGTCATAAAAATATGTTATTATTATTATTATTATTATTGCATCAAATGTTATTATTTGAAATTGTAGTTTTAAAAAACCCGAAATTTTAATATTTATAATTACAATGTTTAAATAATACTCCAATATCGTGAGTAAGTGATGTAAAATCTTTCACACTTACCGTCGTCAAAATTAAATTGGTAGTATCGAAATTGAACTTTTGAACAATTGTGTCACAATTTTTGTTTCGCTTTAATTCAAAGTTTTCTTTGAAATATTTTAATAAATTTAAAATTAAGACTTGTTAATATATTATTTCCAAGGTGAATTAAGAATATATTAACAATTATTATAATTGTTAACATAACTTTCAGAAGGAAGATGTTAGTAATAAAGTTGAAATAGAAAATGAAGAGATCTAATTTATATTTCCTTTTTTTAGTTACAATACCCTACCTTTCCTTTTATTTATAATTTTAATTTAATGTTGATGAACCATTACCATAAAATATTTTTCATTATCACCTCATACTGTGTTGGTATATCATTCAATGATTTTGGCTTATATTAAAGGGTGGACATAAGATAATAAAGTCATTAAATGATTCCGTCTTGTTGTTAGCTGCAAGTGTACCTTTTAATTTTCGTGGTTCAATACCATTTTATTATTAAAAAAATTAATTAATGCACGAAAGCACACGCATATTTATACAGAATAAGATTATTTTAAAAGTATATTTGTCTTTTAAAAAGAGTATCATACCTCAATGATTTAACATTGAATTAATCTCTTTGGTTAAAATCATTGTCTAAAAACAATTAAATATATAACATAAACATTACAAGTTTATATAGTATTAAATAGATACATTAATACTATACATATATATATATATATATATATATATATATATATATATATGAATGAACATGAATATTGAACAACGAGAATATATGTCTGGGTATATTTAAAAGAGCATGAACAGTTTAAGAGTTAATGTTCTAAACAAATTATTATTGTTATGATTTGTGAAAATAACATATCCCGTGGAGATAGGGATGTTTGATATTGTATTTGAGTCGCATGTCTAATCGACGGTGCAAATGAAGGGTTTTCCGTCGTCGAATCCAGTTGACATCTCACTAGCTATATACAACCTACTTCCACCCAGAAGGTTATTTATATTAGTATAAAGGATTAAAAAGGGAAGAAAAGAAAAAGAGTGTGAATATGGTGATTTCTTATTAATGAATATTTTGCTGTTTTTACCAAAGCAACTTGGTTGATCACAAACAAGAAGTGAAAGGAATAATAGAACCCTTACGGCACCTACTTAAACAAAAAGGAAGTGGTTGGAATAATGCATGCTTTGTTTGAGTTAATATTAATAACATCATTTGATGAATGGAACTTTTCAACAACGAAATTGATTTTCAGACTTTGGCCCACCATTATCGCAACTAATTTTGATAACACAAATAGTGTTTTAGATTTGGCTACTTCAACACCCGAAAATTCACAAGTACACTAAAAATACGCCTCCGGTGCAATGCACCAATATAATTGCTTTAATGCAATGTCGTTGGGTGCATAGACAGCACTTTAATCCCAAAGCGCTGCTTAAATAATTACTTGTATATCATTTGCTACTGCACTGTGCATGTTAATTCGTACATTCTTGCCTTTTTGCTTATTCTATTTCTTTCCTTTTTTTTATCTTTGACAAAAAATATTATTTTTGCTTTAATTTTAAAAGTATTATTTGTTTAATTTAATCTTATTTAATATACTAAAACATGGATTATTATTAATAATAAAATATCCTTACGATGTATAAAAAATTGCCAGTTTTAAAAACACTATAATAAAAAGTGAAAAATGAATTTAATTTTATACACAACACATTAACGGTATCATATGATACATATCTTGATCCCTATTTGAATGCGTCGGAACTTGCTAACCACGCATTAAATGCAGAATGGGTGAGTCTCTTTCCACACGAAGGGTTTTACCAAGATTGTGACAATGTATAATTGGTTCGTGGGAGTGGGGTTCGTCAATGCTATGTTTATGTTGATCAAGTTTCAGTAGTTGGGGACTTCAGTAACTATTAAGGCTCATTGAATTAGGTCCAAACGTATTACATCTCTCCATAAACCAGCTTCCTCGTATGCTCCTCTTGTATCACTTCAACTTTATCAGTTTCTCTTTGGACCTGCTCTATTTATATATTCAATTTTCATATAGTTATTTTTTTTTAAATCATTTAATTTTACTTTGTGTTTGTCATGTTACTTTTAATTTCATCCCATACTCCATTTCAACTCCAAATAAAAGAGGAGAGTTTGTATTAAATCATCAACAATTAATGTAAAATTTATTGATCCTTGTTTTAAGTAATCAATAAATAATGCCCACAGAAGTTTTACCCATTGTCAATATTTTTATTTTTAATAAAAATAATAAAAGAAAGTTATTAATCAATTTATAGCATTGAAACAACTTAAATATATTTTTAAATTTTATAGATATGACTAAATTTGGTTTTAATCTTTTAATTAATTTTCATTATTATAAATTTTATTTCTTAAAAAAATAATTTAATGTACTTCCACTTTGTGATAATAATGTGTCATATATCTAGCAATGTTGTGTTGTAGGGATGAAAATAGGTCAGACCTCCTGACAAGGGCCTATGGCTTGGCCTAGTTTAGGCCTGGCCTGGCCTGACCTTTTTTAATAAACAAATTAGGCTCAGGTCTTTTTTAAGGCATGTTTAAGTAAATAAGTCAGGGTTGAGCTGTTTATAAAGCTTGTTAAGCCTGACAGACCGGCATATATTATATAATTTAAAAAAAGAGCTATCAAAATATATTTAAATAATAAAGTTATTTAATAATATATTTTTATATTATTAATTCTGTTATTATTAAATTAATA